GAAAATCTGATGTAGCCCAGCCTCATCCAGACTCTGCATCCAGCGACGCCCAGTTAAATTGAGTTTGAGACTCCTGCTTTAAAGGCATACTCTTTTAATGTTTTGTTATATTTTTAATGTTTTGCTATGGCATCAATTTTCCATCATCAGAATTTGCTTAGTTTTATGCTTAAATGTATTGATTTTCTTTTCTTTTTGACTATGTGTTTTATCTCAATGATTTGTCTTGTTTTATCTTGTTATTACATTACTTTCTTTGTAAACTGCCCAGAGTTGTAGGTATACTATACTCTTTTAATGTTTTGTTATATTTTTAATGTTTTGCTATGGCATCAATTTTCCATCATCAGAATTTGCTTAGTTTTATGCTTAAATGTATTGATTTTCTTTTCTTTTTGACTATGTGTTTTATCTCAATGATTTGTCTTGTTTTATCTTGTTATTACATTACTTTCTTTGTAAACTGCCCAGAGTTGTAGGTATACTAATCGGGCAGTATACAAGCCCAATTAGTACACAACTCTGGGTATAAATAAATAAATATCCTCTACTTGTTTTTAAAGAATTTAATATATAAAGTAACAACATGCTAATTTTATAATGCAAAGTATGCTGCTTATATACTGTTCCATGGTGCTTTAAAACATTCTCTGGGTACTTTACAATTTAATTGTACAGGCTACACATTGTCCTCCACCCCATGGTACTCAATTTGCTGACCTCAGAAGGATAGAAGGCTGAGTAAATCTTGAGCTGGTTACCTTAGACTAAAATCAAACTGAGATAATGAGCAGAGTCTTCACTGCAATACTGCAGTTTAACCACTGTACCATAAGATATATACTACTATTAACACAAGCTTAATTTCCTATCATTTTTTGTAAATATAGTTTTATAGATGTTGAACAGTATAACCAGATTGACAACAAGATGAAGAAATTGTATATATACAATCATGTCAAATAATAGAGTTGAAAGCGGCATATAAGACCATTGAGTCCAACCCTCTGCCCAATGCAAGAATCCAAGTTAAAGTATATGGCCGACAAACTTTCTACTGAATATCGCCAGTGGTGGTGCATTAACCACCTTCAGTGTCATACTGCTGTAACAGTTAGGTTTTCCTGATATTTAACTGAAATATGGTTTCCTATAACTTGATCCCGTTATTACATGTCCAGCATTCAGGAATGATTGAGAACAGATCCTGTTCCTCCTCTGTATAACAGCTTTTCAAGTATTTCAAAGGTAGCATCATATCTCCCTCCAGTCGTCCCAGGCTAAACATGCACAGTTCTTTAGTCTTTCCTCATAGGACTGATCATCTTTATTGCCTTCCTCTGAACCTCTTCCAACTTGCCTACATCCTTCTTAAAGTGTGGTGTTCAGAATGGAACACAGATGACTCAAGATGGGTCCTAACCCATGATGAATAGAGGGGAACCAGCACTTCACATGATTTGGGACTGTATTTCTGTTAACGTAGCCTAAACTATGATTCAGCTTATGATCTACAACAACTACAAGATCAATGTATTCTCAAATTACAAGATCCTTCTCATATGTAAGTATTGCTGAGCCAAGTATACTCCATCTTGTACAAACTCTGTGGTTGTTTCTTTCCTAGATGTAGAACTTTTGAGTACAAATCATGTCCCACTTGTTACATCCTCCCACTGACAATGCGAATTAGTACCTAACTGTGGATCCACCCAATAGTTGTTCTATCCAGCCCACACTTAGGTAGCTTGCAAATCAGAATAGCATGGGGCGCTTTGGGAAAAACTTTATTGTCATCAAGATATATTATGTATATAGCATTCCCACTGTCTACCAGAGAGAGTATCCAATCAAAAAACAAAGGTAAGATTAATCTGGCAGGATTTGTTCTTGACAAATCTGTGTTAGTTTTGGTTATTGCTGCATTGTTTTAAAGGTGCTTGTAGTCTGGCTGGGAAGGAACCTGACCATGGAAAATGACAGCAGATAAAAACATTTTATTGTAGTATTTTACATTTGGCTAATATTTAATCCATTAAGATGGATATCAAGGATATGTATATATTTTATCTCAGCTGTTTCCATCTGGATTCTTGTTCTGTAATTTTTCTTATCCAAAACCGTGAGTTTAAAATCCTATGAAGAGTGTCCTGGTAGACTGAAATGATTTGAAACAGGTTTCTGTGTATTGCAATTCCTGCTGTCTGATTTATGCCCACTAATTCTTTTGTATAGGGATTGTCTCATTTCCCCTATATATAGAGTGCAGAGGGGCATTGTTGCCAAAAGATGGTGCGGATCCCATTAGCAAAGAAACAAATAGAAGTGCTCTTGATGTTGTATGTGATGTTGTTCGCTCTTGTAACACTTCTTTTGTTATCCACTGTCATTTTCTTCACTACTACCACGCCCATTTCTTATCACAAGACTTTAAGGTAAAAAAAAAGTCCACATTCCCTACATTAACACATGTGATTCCTCTGCCAACTTCTTTCATTCTCCTCAAGGTTAACTGCATCCTCAACCCTACCCCACTTCATCTCTGCTCAGACATTGTGTCTGTTTTCTGTCTTCCTGAAATATTTTTACAACAGGACAAACATAGGCCTAATTACTACTTGTAACCAATGAACATTTAGAATGTGAAACTTCTATTTCATATACATTTCGTTCTGTCTCTTAATGTCTGCCAAAGTGGACGTGTCCACAAAAGCTTACATTAAAATATAATGGTTTGTCTTTAAGGTGCCACGTTTTTTTTTTAAATTGTTTTTTTCTTTGGATTTTGGGTAATATAGTCTTAGCTCTTGTGATACTGTTGCAAAAGTAAACATGGTGGCAGAGCTGGCATCTCAGTTTGTAGGATATGGTTCCCATTGCTGTATCCGTGTCGTGCAACTTGTGTGTCAATAGTTGATTGTGAAGTTGTCTGTAAGGAAGTATAGGCCTCCCACCAAGAGTTTATGAGGGTGAATTAATTCTTGGCAGCAATGGGCTGGAGATAATTTACAGTGTGTGTGAATGACTTTAGTTGCGGGCTGAACAGCATTCAGTTGAGGGCTGAACAGAGTTTGGATGTCTTCAAGGTCTGTCTTGCAGTAGATTGACTCTAGGTATTCATCTTGCTTGGTTAATTTGTTTTTGTTTTAACTATTTGGGGTGAGATTTTGTAGATCCTTCAGTTTGGAATCTCTATCTTGTTCCCTTGATCTGGAGATAGGTGTTAATTGTCAAAGGTGAAACAGTTATGTTTGAGCACCAAGTCACAGAGGGTAGGGCTTATGTGTGCTTCCTCCTAATTTTGGAGGGTATTCCTAACAACTTGTATTCCAGCTGTGTGCAAAATGTCAGCATACAGAACTCCTACCACTATGTTTGCGTGTTACTGCCACATACTGTGGAACAGTAAGGCCTTCAGAAAATAGCCCAGCATATCACCAACTATAGCCCTGTAGTTATTATGGCCCCTCTTAAAAACTGCATCTTGATGTTACTATCCAACCCAGAGAATAACTGACTCCTGAGTCGCATCTTCCTTTTACGTTTACAACCAGGAAAGCCCTTTTCCTTCTGTTTTAGCGTTGCGGCGTGGCACACGCGGCTGGACTACAACTCCTATCAGCCTTAAGCAAGACAGCAAACGGCCAGGGACGAGGTTTCACATCATCTCGACAGGCCCGCGTTTCCCATTCCTGCTCTGAAACGAACGCCTGCATGAAACGCGAAGGAGTCTTGAAACAGAGGAAGGGCGACCCTAAAGGCGTTTCGACCTTGAAGGTGAGAGAAACGAATGAGTTTCTCACGCTGGTCAAGGGAGAGAGGCTGACATATTCCTGAGACCCCCAGTCAAGGGGTATCCAAGCCGCCTTTTTAGCTCGGTGAACCAGCAAGAACTACAGTACGTGGGAAAACTACGGCGAGAGCCGGACCACCACGGCCACAAACATCAACGCCGAGCCATTCTTTGAGCCTCCTCGTGAACAACGGCCCTCCGGCTTTTATGCCGGCTCTCCCTCTTCCCTCCCCCGCCAAAAACTCCACCCGGAAGAAGAGAAAAAGGAGGAAAAACGAGTACGCAGAGGCCCCACCCTTCTTCCCGCCTCTCGCCAGTCGCTGGCTGAAGCCGGCTGATGGACGGGAGGGCTCAGCCATCCGGCTTTTCCCCTTTGTTCCCGGTCACGTGCCGCTCCCTCCTCGGCCGGGCTCCTCCCCTTCCCTCTTCTTTCTCCCCCTCCCCCGCCTTTCCGTCCCTCAGCCGTCCCCACCCCCACCCCTCACCTTCCCTCCCTCCAGCTAAGGGTTTCTGGCCAGCCGCGCGTCGAGCGGGAGTTGAGGAGGTAGGTTATGTGTGTGTGTGGGGAGGGAGGGGGCGACCTGCCGGGGCTAGGGAGGCCTTTCCGGTACTTACAAGGTGTCCGAAGGCCGAAGACGAGGGCTTCCCCCCCTCCGTTTTGGAGGGGAGCGCGGAGCGGTAGAGGATG